CACGCCTCTTAATTAATGTAAAATAATCATTGTATATTAAAAAATTTATGTTAACATTTGTCTCTAAAGCGAGAAGTAATGAAATCACATCTAAACAAATAATAAGATCATCAAGAAATGCGACTAAAATGAAATCTCATTTTTTAAGAGTCGATCTTGGTCAATAATATAATCAATAAATGCAGTTAATCTTAGTATTCCGTGTTTAGATCCTTTGTTTGTTCCTTTTGGTATTTTTGTTGTGTTGAAGTTGAAACTTACTATTATATATCCTCCTATAACTTATGCGCAGATGATCAATTTGACACGAAGTTTGGGATTTATCTCCATTAGCCCCGGAGCCAAACCCATAGAGCATGGGTGGGCAACTACCTAAACGAAACTAAAAAAGAAGAATATGAGTAAACTAAAAAGTTGAAGGCATCATTTTATTACATTGATAAAAAATTAAAAAATTAAAAAAAATTAAAAAAAAAAGAAAAAAAGAAAAGCATGTGTTCATATATTTGAAAAAAAAAAATTCAAATGGCAATGGAGATGTAAGCATCACCACACCTACTGCACTTGTTGGGGCGTGCTTCTTCCCCAATAGATTTTAGTCTTTTAACTTTTGGTCTACCTGGGGGCCTCTTGTCAATGGGGGTTCCATCACAAACTCCTGACTCATAGATTGTTCATCCTTTTCAATATCTGCTATATCCTATATCCTGGATATAGTGTGTGATGCAGGATATGCAGAAGGTGGGAAATTTCATGTCAGGCCTTTGCTCGTACAAGTCGCACACCATGACCATGTTAAATCTATCTCGTCTGCCAAATCCAGGATTACAACCCCACGAACTGTTATACATTCTTCCAAAGATATAACTATGAAAGTCATAAATATATGGATTACAGGAATTAAAGAGTACAATTTTCAAAGAGGTATAACATCAAACACCTTCTGTGTAATGGTTTTTTTGAATAAAAAGAGAAAAAAGCATATCAATGAGAGATGATAGAAGGGGATTAGGGGGATTAGGATAAAGTCTTCATGTAAAAATTCGCACAGCAAACAACAATAAAGGAGAAAACAATTATAATATACCTGACTTGAAAATTTCAATTTGTTGTGTTTTAGTCCTTTGATAGACGAAGAAGGTTGAGTATCGCCAAAGCACGAAGGAAAAACACGATCATAAAATTGTACCTAGAGAATAGGTCTCCTGAAAAAATCTGCACGTATAAAACACATCTAATTTGTATACAAAGCTAAAAGTGATTAAGCCTTCCTTAAAAATAGATTGATAAAAAAAATCAAATTTAAAAATTGTTATCAAGAAATCGGGGAGAAAGATGAAGGAAACTAATGAACAATGAATTTGAATGCTGATAAAAAATTTAAAACATGGGTGATATATGGAGGACGTGCAAAAGTTATAGGAAGGTATAATAGTAATAACAACGCAAAAAAATCAACCTAATCAGAAAAATTGCTGACATGAAATCCTAGTCATTGGAGCTAAGTTAAAAGTAACTAAAAATTGGACTAATCCTAATGTTGGGCTATAAAATTGAATCTATTTCAAATTTCCTCTAAAATATATATAAATGAATGACAATCATTTTTCTTTCTACTCGAAACTAGCAACTGCTTTTTACTGTTCTCCTCCATTTCAAACTAATTTCATCCTCTTGACTCAAATTTTTCTATCCCAACTTTCTTCCTCAATCCTTCCCGTACTACTATTACTCGAACATGCACACGACCAAGGCAACTTAGGTAATGTTGGAGTACAATTCTAATTTACTTGTTACATTAACTCTAGTGTTACTAGTTGCAACACTTTTAGTAGATAAGGTTGTTTCCGCTATGAATATCAGTAATGTCTTTAGACCGTAGGCTCATATAATAAGCATTTAGTGTATTTTGTTTTCATATTTGTACTATATAGATAGAAGATACACGTGAAGTAAAGGAGGAATGAAGAAGGGTACTTTAAATGAATTTTAAGTCAATTTCCTTCCATCCTACTTTTGTCCATCATTGTACATGCCATACTATAAACTGACAGTTAAAACTTAAAAAGTTACAACAGATATTTCTACATGAAAAAGTAACATGTTTTTTGGTCGGACGTGGAAAAAAGGGTAGGGTAGAGAGATTGAAATTTTAAATCAAATTTACAAACTAAATAATGTAGTTGTAGAGAATTGAATTATTAATTAAATATCGTTTAACATATTTATCTCTTATTAATGATAAATTAATTAATTTAAAATTTTGATTACTCTAACATTATCCGGAAGAATAAGAGTGACAACCAACCTGAAACATAGAATTCTCCACCAACAACAAGGTGAGGCCCGCACTCGCTGTACAACCCTGGTTTAAATTTCCCAATGCGGCAATTTTAAAGTTACAGGATCCTCGACATTCTGACGTGGCACCTTATCATTGGCAAACTCCGCCAAAACACCAGATTTTGTCCAATAGCATCCTGCCACGCGTCTGAACAACTGGCTTGCAGTAGTAGAAAGGGGATCAGGATCCTCTCCTAATCTAAGGATGAGGATCCTCCTGACCAAGGAATATGGAATGTTGGATGAAAATTCAACAGTTATAATTATTGTAACTTTAAATGGACTCCCTATTTATAGCCATTAAATTTTCATGTAACGGCCGATCCTCATCCAGGAGAGGATCCTGATCCGTAGAAAGGGGCACCTACATGGTTTTGGTCCAAAAGGAAAAGGTTCAACTACTTTTTTGGCCGTGGTTCCAGCAAGCCACGTGGCATTGAGGGCGGGCCTTCACCTCGTTGGTACCCATACGTCGCCTTCCCATTCTCGTCCCACGGAGCTTAGTGTGGTCTTATCCACACAATGCTCCAACCGTTCCCTTCTTGAAGAGTAGTTGAAGATTGGGCCCATGATTTTGCACAAGGCAACTTTAGAATGTTTGATGTCACATAATAATGCGGTGCACCTGCTTATTTTTCCTCCCACGTCTACATCTACGCGTGTGAAAGTAACATCTTTCTTTGGCTTTGCACAACATAATTGAGTTTAGGGTAGATACCGGATTACTTGATTAGAGCATGGAATAATTAGTTCTATGTATTCTCCTTCACTTCTCTAGGAAAACCTTTTTTTTTTTTTTTTTTTGACTAACATTCAATTTTGTTAAATTAGTCACTGACGAAATTCAAACTCACGATGTTATGCAAGAACTCAACATATTTCTACTATTATTATAAAAGGTCACTTACTTTTAAATATAATTTCATTTGATAACTATTTTTAGTTTTTAAAACAATGAAAAATTAAAAGATGAAATAGTTTTTAAGTATTATAAGGTTCTCATTAAACATTCATATCACATCACTCTCAATTATGAGTTCTTTAAATGCGTGGCATGTGTGGATGGAAATTTTGCCATGGACGAAACAATTTCAACAATTACCGCCATTAAGCTAATTGACGAACACCCACGAAAATAGAGGGTATTCGTCAAAGGGCTTCTAATGCATAAGTCAGAGAAAAGGGTTAATATAAGCTAAATCAAAAGAGTTATGAGTAGTAAGTAACAACTATCAATTTTCCTAGTTGACTTGGCTAATTATAGGAGAGACTCTTCGTATGCAGCCTAACAATAGAGTTGCAGGCCATGCTAAGCAATCCTTTGTTCTTCTGCTAGGATGGTGCAAGCCTTATTGAGCAAACCTCTTGAGCATGTCTCTAGGCAACACAGATGTGGTACCTTGTCTGCAACACCAATGTGGAAGTATTCTACAAGGTCATTGCAGAGGATGCTCCCTAACATACATCTTGAGTACACTTCAGTAGTTCCCGCCAAGCACAGGAACTAACAGACAAGCCAGTAGTACATCAAGGCTATTCGCTTTTAGGCTGTTTGGCGGGAGATGGGCTTCAGGGCCTGATGATTGTGGATTTCTTGGGCGTTTTGCAGAATAGAGGCCCATAAACCCATCAAGGTATGGATAATGTCCGCATGGTCCATCAAAGGCATGACAATCATATTGAGCTGAGAATACATATGGTGTGCTCTAATAGGTCAGGATATTTTATGTCCCAACAACTTAGTCATCCAATAGTTATTCAACAAAAGACAAACAATATTATTTCAATTAAACATGCAATTTCAACTTTTTTCTTTTAGGTGAAGAGATTGTGAGTTTACTAGAAGACATTACGGAAGCTTACGATCATCGAGAATAGCAACCTAGATTATATCCGGAGGCTCCTCGTATCGACAGATATCAAAAGCTGAAAATAAAGCTAACTTGGCCAATCTATAGGCCATCATATTGGCAAAATAGCGGATGTCACAACTTGAGAATCCATAAAGCTGCCCGAACCAATCCTAATGTCTCTGCCACCAATCCCAATGAGGAACTACCAGGAGTTTGAATCACTTGTAGGGCATCACCCTCTCAAATAATTTGAGATGAATTCTTATCCAACGTTAATTGAACAGTTAAACAATATATGATTTAGTTGATTTGTTGCAAAGAATATTTAATGAATGAATTAGAAACTAGACGATTTTCATCATCTTGTAGCATTCAAAAATCAGATTTGTAATGTTTGCTCTTCGTGTTTAGGGTAATTGTTGGTGGTGTCATGTTGAAGTTAATTTATTGATTTAGTTTATACAAATTCCTCTTGATATCAAGATTGGTTATTGGAAATTATGTATCTAATATGACACTCTCTTGTATTGTTTGGTTCTTATCAATGAAATTACTGTATCGTTGTTGTTCCAAAAAATATCGACTGAAAAGGTTAGTAGCATCTCCCCCTATATTGTAGAAACAATCAAACGCAGACAAAACACAAGATGAAATAATGGCCATATGCCCATAAATAATTCACATAACACAAAAGTTGTCCAAACTTTAATCAACATCAACCAATCACACCACACATCATGCCATGCACATACCATCAAAACAGTGCACCTCACCACCACCCTATAAAAACCCCACTCACACATAATTTAATTCCCTCCAATCTCCTCAATTCCACTGTCTCTTCGCCTTCCTCTTCTTCTTCGATCTTCTGTCGTCAATCTTCAACTCCCTCCCAACAGTCAAAAAGTCAAAGCCCAAACCACCGTCCGATGACCACCTACGGCACGATTCCGACCTCCTCGTCGTCCTCCCAAGGCCCCTCCGGCGAGTACATCTCACGCGCCAAGGACCGCATCAGGGCCGGCCTCGGAGCCCGCCGGCCATGGAAGCTGATGTTCAACTTCCGGTCCTTCAACTTCCCCTCCTCCTTCTCCGACGCCTTCGGGCAGGTCCGATCGAACGTCGCCTACTTCCGGATGAACTATGCCATCGTGGTGCTCCTGATCCTGTTCCTCAGCCTGCTCTGGCACCCGATCTCGCTCATCGTCTTCGTCGTCATGATGGCCGCCTGGCTCTTCCTCTACTTCCTCCGCGACGAGCCGCTGGTGTTGTTCGGAAAAACGGTAGACGACCGCGTCGTTTTGATCGTGCTGGCGGTGGTGACGATCGTGCTGCTGTTCTTGACCCACGCGACGGTGAATATTCTGGTGGCGCTGCTGATTGGGGTTGTGTTGGTGATTGCGCACGCGGCGTTGAGGAAGACGGATGACTTGCCGGTGGACGAAGAGAACTCTGCGTTGTTGACTACGCCTGCAACTTCCTCTGCTTAAGTACTCCAATTCGATTCGATTCTCTGTTTTGTTCTTCTTTTTCTTTTTCTTTTTTTGTAATTTATGGGTTTTGGTGATAGAAGTTGTTGATTGTATCTGCCACTCTGCTGCTACACCCAATTTGTTGGTTTGCGATGAATCTAGTAATTTTTTTTTTTTATGGTGGAAAATTGTTGTGCATTTTTGTTCCCGATTTTGTTGCCTCCGTCCTCGTGTGCCTGTGTAATTTGGTTCTGCCTTGCCAAATGGTATTTTTACTTGTCCCGACCTCGCTCATGCTGATGAACTATCCGATAAGCCGACCCTCGAGGAAGGATACTTGCAATACAGCACCAGTCGTCATAACTTCAGTGGCATTAGATGTTTATGCGGAGTTGAACATGCTCAAGTGCTCTTTTCTTAGATTGGAGTTGAACACACTTCTCTAAGGAACTACTAAATTTTGTCTTTGCATTTCAGGATGCACTGCTCCAGAAACGGATCAAGTACAACTTGCAGGATCCCGTTCTGCGTCTTTCTTTCATTACGTGGAGGGTTGTAAAAAATCTGCGGATCTTCTGATTCCGGAGTCATATATATTTCAAGTGGAGTCGTTGTTATGTTGACTCGTGTCATTTGATAATTTTTCTTCAGGAATGTTCTCCGGTGGGGAAAGAATACCGGTTCGGCTAAAACTAAAGCGTGCTGGTTCAGCAGTTTATAACAGAGCATCTTCACTGGAAGCATTGGTCAGTGTCCTTGGACCTTGTGGTTTCCTTGAACATGTTTTGGTTCACTCTCATCTGAATCCAAAAAAGAAACACACGCACACGCACACGCACACGCATGCAAGTTCGTTTTTATTCATAATAATCAAGCATCTTCTTGATGGCAACCTACTTGTTGACATTCTACATGCTGATTTGAAATTACAATCCTCTAGGTAACTTATGATTTACTACCCAGTGAACGAGATTCTGAGTTGTTAACATAAACAGAATGAGATTCTAAGTTGTTGACATAAACTGAACGAGATTCTGAGTTGCTAACATAAACTGAACGAGACTCTAAGTTGTTAACATAAACTGAACGAGATTCTGAGTTGTTAACATAAACTGAACGAGATTCTGAGTTGTTATTATAAACTGAGCGAGATTCTGAGTTGTTATTATAAACTGAGCGAGATTCTGAGTTGTTAACATAAACTGAATGAGATTCTGAGTTGTTAACATAAACTAAACGAGATTCTGAGTTGTTATTATAAACTGAGCGAGATTCTGAGTTGTTAACATAAACTGACGCTTCATATTATGTAGGTTGGTTATCTTTATCTGACAAATATCGAACGTTTAGAAGAAGTCATGGTGAAGTTGGGATTCTCAACTGATTCTTCTGAGCAGTTAATTTGAGAGGAGCCTGAGGAGGTAAACGGTACGTCAACACAAGCCGTTTCGTGCATTCATGCAGTATACTTATTTATTTGTCTTGAAAGATTGTATTTGGCGGGGGGAAGGCTTTATGTTAATTTGTTTTCTCGTTGGTTTTCGATAGAGTCCCAGTTATGCTAATTTTGCATACATTGTTCAGCAATCTGCTTGTTCTTCTTGGCAGGCAAGCATCCTAGTGAATGAAGTGTTGCTTCTATATAATGGTGGGAGGAGATTTGAATCTTTGAGTGTGGGTAATAGGGGAGGTGCGGGTGGCGTTGCTGGGTGATTGGGGTAGGGGTGAAGGCCATTGAGTGTTTTTGGGTTTGCGGAGCACAGGGTGGATGTTTGAGGTGACTTTGGTCGGGTTTCTTGTTTGTTTTCCTTCTTTTTCTTTCTAAATCCATTTTATATGCTGGATAAAACAGAGATTTCAAAGTAAAAAAATAAATAAATAAGTTCGGTTTAGAAGAGAAAATTTGGGTCCCAAGTTAAAATTGACTTTAGCTTTGGATAGTTCATATGGAGAAGTGATTTCCGCACATTTTTTCGTTGTACACACATTTTGATTATAACTCTCCTTTGAATTTAATAAATCAAAGAAAATTTAAAGGACTTGGTTGTGTAAAAAAAAAAAAAAAAAAAAATCTTTAATAACGAGGGAGATAAGTCATTCAATACTACGATTGACTAGTGTCCTAAAAAGCGGTTTAGGCGGCCGCTTAGGCGTTGGGCGATGGACTGCCACCATGATTCTTTCAAAAACGTTATATAAATCAACAAGGGTATTAGGCGGTGTCTAGGCAGCCAATTGGGTGTGCGAGGCAGCCTCGGCGGCAGACTAGGCGATTCTATTAAAAAATAATACGTCGTTGTTTCACTACACTGCATAATATTGCAATGAAAATTTAAGTTTGTGTATGAGATTAAAATGTTTTACATGTGAGACATGAAATTGCAATTGCATCAAATTTGAGAAGTGCAATTTACTCTTCATATATGTTGATTAAATTATGGGATGGCTTGCATTTTAATTTAGGCATGAAATTAAAATGTTTGTGTATGAGATTAAAATATTGCAATGAAATTTTAAGTTTGTGTATGGGATTAAAATGTTTTACATGTGAGACATGAAATTGCAATCGCATCAAATTTGAGAAGTAAAGTGTAATTTACTTCATATATGTTGATTAAAAGATGGGATGGGCTTGCATTTTAATTTAGGCCATAAATTTGGACCTCAGCCCCGGCTCCATCCTTTTCTTCACGACCAACGAGAGGAAATTTGAAGAGTTAATATTTGTTTAATACAAGCGATATTCTATACTAATTTACATTAAATAAAGTAGGAAGAGTTTAAACTCGGAACTCAATAAGTTGAAGAAGATCTTCATCACCAAGTTAATCAACCACTTTTGTTAAGTAGTTAACTCACAGTTTCAATGTCTGGCTCATCTAATACATTCTCTTCCATCTCATCTCACCTCACTTGACCCACAAGCCAGAACGACCACTGCTAATTGTAAAACTTGGTACAACAAACTTCGCACTTCAGTTTTGACATCAACTTCTCATCTGAATTGACTTACAACCAACTAACATTTTGTCCAAAATTTTAAGAGCTAATTTGGTATTGTTGTGCTTTGAGAATAAGCAGTTTTAAATAAAGTACGTGTTTGGTAAACTATAGTTGTAAAAGTGCTTTTAGCAAAAACAAGCAGTGTTATAATGTTTGGTAAATTTTTATGTAAAACATTGTGATTGTGTAAAATGATCAAAAAATGCATAATAATGGATGTGTTATTAATTTAATTGTTTGGCAAAAAGGTCAATTATTAAATATACTTTGTTTCAAAAAAAATATTTATATCTTAATTGAAACCTATCTCAAATACTAATTAGTACAACAAATTGTTTTGAAATATTGAAATATTTCAAACAAAATAACTAGGATTCATTTGCACGACATTATTAATGTACTTGAAATACCATCAATCAATTGATACATAATTCAAATAGAATAATTCAGAAGTTGTTCAATATAAAAGTAGTCTAACTATCTGCGTTCACCAAACTTACGATTACGTTATTTCTTAATACTTCGATCTCATGTGATCTTTCATCAATAGTTGCGCTATTCTTCATCATCATCAATATCATTCTCTTCACTAAAGTCGTCGGGATCATTAAAAAGGCGATCACGTTCAAAATGCTTTCGTACGTAAACACCATAATTTGTTTAGCAGGCTAATGAAACCTATCATTCATTTGAGTTCCTATAAACAACATAATTTGTAGTAAACAACTGTTTTTGTTCTCTCTTCTTGTCTCCTTGTTTAAGATAAAACCTACTCAAATCAGCATTGTGACATAGCTTACAAAGTGAATTAAGGCAATTGAAATGTCACAAGTATGATAAGTTTAGAGGTGGAAATCTGAGTAGCTTGAATGAGACCTTATTTGACAACTGTTTCAGGTCAGACACCCAAATTTGGCATCAAAATGAAATCTGTAACTCAAATCACTGCTTCTCAATTATCTTTAACAATCCATTTCAGTGATTCAACTCCAATTCTTTCTTGGTGATACTGATGATACGAGGGAGAACGCAAAGGACGCGATGAAGCAACGAGCAGTGTGGGGACTCCAGTTTTCAGATCTGAAGTTTGCGCTCTCTGCTCTCTTACGATAAAGACAGAAAGGGGGTAGGTTGACAATCTTCAAAATTTCATTTAATGGGCACTATTCACCTGTTTTTCGGAAAAAATAAGTCGGTTTTTCAAAGCTAGATCCAAATTGCAATGAAGATGAATTGAAGCAAATTCCATCTCAGTGAGTAGCTGTTATTCTTCTCATCTCCATATAGCGTTCCGTCGTTTAGAATCATTGCATCGGCCGAGCTTTTCAATTTGCCCGAAAAACATGCGCATGGCTAACGGAACACGATTGAAGACTTGAAGTGGTATTTTTCATTAGATTCACCAATAAAAGTTTCCAAAACCTTGCTATTCTCTTCTTTTTACTATACAGAAGTAAAATGCAGGTGGCATTAACCAAAATATCAAAGGAATTATGGATTACGTTACAAAAAGGAGATCACATCTTTAGTCCACTAAGTATGTGGTAGTTCTAAAAGGCGAGCGCTTCGCAAATGGTTTTCGCATGAAGTCCGCCCTGCCCTGTCCCTCTCCCTAAAACCTGGCCTTAAATTCTCAAGAGAGCTTCTCGTACCCTTCCATCGCCTCATCTAGTAGCGGGCCGCTATAATGTTCCTTCTGCCGCTGCTGCTGCTCTGACCAAAGTCGGCCACTCCGGCATCCCACATCCTGACCATTCAGGCATCCTACATCATACCCGGGCGTTGACATGTAATTTTTGTCCATCATCATGTCACCTTCTAGTATGCGCAGAACCTTAAAGAACACGAACAAACATGTCTTAAGATTCAAGATAGGTTGCCTATAAAGCCTAAAAGTAAGCTGTAACTGCTAGTCATTAGAACAAGTTGGGATGTCTTTTTTCCGGAGTTCCTCTTTACCTGAGACATGCGAGGCCTAGATTGCGGATCCCGCCGTATACATAGCGACGCAGCGTGCAGCATGCAGTAAACCTCGTGTTCGGAATAGAAGTTTTCAAGTCTGGGGTCAATCAGTTCATCAATGTCAAATTCTTCTAATAACGGGCGGGCCTGTGTTGGATCAAAAGTTATAAGCAATAAAAATCGAGCAACAGACAAGAACAAACATATGATATCTACAACTTGCTTTATCATACCCATTCAGTGAGACATTGCTGCCCTTTAGGCCGGTTAAGGTCCACAGCTTTTCGCCCTGTAACAAGTTCCACCAAGACCACCCCGAAGGAATAAACATCAGCCTTTTCTGTAATTTGACCACTTTGAGCATATTCAGGAGCCAAATATCTGCAACACAGAACAAATCATCAGATAAATGCAAAGCAGCATATAACAGAGTTGGATGGAAGGTGAAATGGCATCAGCAAGGGCTGTTATTTGAGATTTACCCGAAAGTTCCAATTACTCTTGTGTCCACACCCGTGTCCCCATCAGGCTGCCACCTTGCGAGGCCAAAATCTCCAACCTAGAAAGAAAAGTGGATAAAGTCAACAACATTTTTATCTACTAAGTAGCTAACGAAATACACAATTCATGCATCTGAAAACAGGACTAGAAGTTCGCAGTACCAGTGGCTCAAAATCATGGGTGATCAGGATGTTGTTTGGTCGCATGTCACGGTGCACAATGCAACCCACTCTGCATTCTTCATGAAGATATCGTAGCCCTCGAGCTGCCCCTACAGCAATCTTTTGCCGTGCAGACCATTCTAAAGGCTCACGATGTCGCCCTGAAACAGACCCAGAAGATCATTGTAAGTACGCAATATAGTTTCACAAAAAATTGACAGCAAGTATCATTCCATACAAAATATGTTTACCGCTGTCGGAAAAAGAAATATTACTGTATAGATGAGAATCCAATGACCCATTGCATATATACTCATAGACCAGCAATCTTCTTCTGTCCTCAATACAGAAACCAATCAACATGACAACATTTCGGTGCTGAGCACAGCTCAGGACTTCTACTTCTGAACAGAACTCCTGATCGCCCTGAGAACTAGCCAATTTGTGTTGCTTGACAGCAACAGCCTGGCCATCCTGGCAGCATCCCTCTGTGAACAGAACCAAACCCTCCCTCAGCCAAAAAATTGGCTTGTGAAAATCCTCCGGTAGCAAGCTCTAGCTCTGCATAGCTGAACCACCTTGGAGGTTTTCCAAACACAGGTGCCTTGTGTTGACATATTGAACATAATGGAGGGGGGCCTGGAGGAGCATTTCTGGACAGTGAAATTGCTTCTCTCAGATTTCCGCTGAACTCCATGTCAGCTCTATGATTGGGCATTCCAATTCCAGCATCTCTATCAATTTTCGAAAATTTCAGTAAAAAGCCTTGGTAGTAGATGCTTTTGAGTTATCGTTACTTCTGTGTGAGCTTTCTTCCATGTGTTGCAAGGATGGACGATGAGAATCAAGAAATTCAGCTATCAATGGTTGGAACCTCATACTACCTGAAGATGATAAATGTTCACTGTCTGTGTCTGAACTACTGTCATCAAGAACTTTGTTTTCTTTACTAACTAATGATTCCACTTTCTTCAGATCTTCATTTTTTCTGGAATGAAAAAAGGTGAAGTTCCTGGATCTGAACTTGACACCGATGAGGTACCAGCCTCGGTGGCTGTGAATGGTGTCCCAAGCTCTGGACTACTAGTTGGAGTCACAACCGGCCCTCGAATGGAACTCAAAGAATCATTCCTCTGCTTGGGATGTTTATCAGACCCTGCACCATGCTCAGACAGCAAGGAACTGGCCAATTCAGGTTCCTTTTTAGATGATCCATTCAAATTCAAGCGAAGAACTTTTGGCTGGGAACGCTTCATAACCACAATGTTGCACTGCAGCTCTTCCATGCAGTGTTTTTCCTCATGTTTTAGATGTCTGTAAAAATCACAAACCCATTAATGTTTAGGCAAAGGTATATAGTTTCAACGCAAGACATGGTGATCCAGAATCCTGTTAATAAAGTAGTAAACTACAAGTAATAATCCTATTTGTGGAAAAGATAAACAAATTGAGCATTACTTGTCTAAAACAACCCAACTGGCTTGAGCTTTTTTAGCCTCTACCGCCACAGAACCAGAAGGTGATCCAGAAATAATTTTTATCTTGACATTTATCTGCAAAATAGTCAAACAAGGCATCAATATACATGGAAATGTACGTGTTTAATACTAATAAGTACTATTAAATATCAATGAACTTACCTTATTTGGATCATAAACTTCATGGAGCTGAAGGATCATCTGAGAGCAGGAATCTGATATATCGCATTTCAGCTCAGAGGTTGTTCCCGTATGAGACTTCCGGTGACCATTGGCGCAATCCCCTGCAAATCTTGGGAAGCCCCATAACTTTTTACCTGAAAATTGCGGAACATGAATAAGTTGTCAGCATCAAAATTTGTAACATGTAAACAAACTGCAAAAATGGAAAGAGTTGCTGGATTTAGAGCTTAAAGACTAAGGCTCGATTTCAGAATTTTACTAAAACTAGAGTGCAAGTCTTCTTTCATAGTAATTAATAGAGTTGTGTACTTGAACAATTCAATCAAACATCCTGATAACCTCCTCAAATAACTCAAATAAATTCAAATTGCATCGTAAGCTGTAGTCACAGAGTCGATAAGAAACATACAGGCAAGCTCACCAACGAAGAAAACATTAAACATTAACCGATGAAAAAGAATGAGCTACTACACAGTCCTAATGGCAATAAACAGAGAGTACCAACCCCTTTTGAAAGTAGGATGGTGTGATCTTTTGCAAGGTAAAACTAAAGAGGGAACTATTAGGATCTATGCGTTGAAGTAAAACGCACCTATTATGTATTCATTAAACACGAAAATAGGCAAAAATTAGAAAAGGAAGCGTAAAGATACCAGAACTTTGAGAGGGCACAACCACAAGTAGTGTTATACAGTCACCAGGTTGGACAACATGAGTCAACGCCCAGACCAGAGCAGTCTTAGGAACTTCCTTCAAGGCCTTAACCGCGACGACAACCTTCTCAGCGTCATCGGAGCCCTTCTCCTGCTTCTCCCGCTTCGGTTCTCGACTCATTACCAAATTTTACAACACACAATTGCAAAATCACCTTCCTTAAAACGTTCAATCTCAAATGCCCTCAAAGCCAAAAGCAAAGACACACATCCAAACGAATATTTCCATAATTAGATTGCCCCTCACTGTTCTAGATTCCGAACATATACTATCAGACATGCACCACCATTCCGTCTAGCAACCTAGCCGCTGTAGAACCTGCACTGAAAAGACCCTTTTACCCAAGTCACCTAAATTCCCAAGAAACTAACTTAGAAACCCAATTGGGGTCCTCACTTTCTCAAACAGTACAAAAATTGGCATCAATATGTTCCAGTTCTGGACACCCTTTTGGCTCTGAAAGCAGGATATTGATTCTCTACTTCAAAAAAAAAAGAAAAAGAAAAAACACAACAGTGCTTTGCTTTTGCAGTTTCTGACGCCTAGCAACGATGAGAGAATCAATGCAGAATATGCAAAGCGACACAGAAGTATCAAACTGCTTTCGATCCTTCAAATAATTGAGGGGTGAAACAAGTGGGGCAAAAAGTAAAAGCGGCCAAATCAAGTTCCTCAAAGAAAAAGCTTCAGATTTTCCGAGCCCACAGCATGATGTACCTAGAAAGAACAATCAAATCAGCAGCAGCAACAAATATGTAGCATATTCTGTACAAAATCAAACAATTATGGACTGCAAAATGGTTGAATGGGGTCAAAATTAACAAATGTAAACTCAAGGTCCCGATCCAAAAAATTTCTACTGGTTTTCCTCAGTTTTCTCAGCAACCAAACAAATATCAAGAAAAATCAAAGTAAAAACTATTAAATTTGTACCAGCTAACATAAAATATTTTAAACCCAAATCAGCAGAACACAATATGCCTGAAATCTTTCCCAACCCACCACCCCAAAAATTCAGAAAAACCAATACAAAATCAACAATTTTGGAGAAAGCCCCATTAACACCAAGACTAAGCCGGAAGAAAATACGGCATTTTACAACCAGCCCCACTTCACCCACTACGTGAAAACCATTAAAAATCCAGAAAATATTATATAATAAAATAAAAAAGAAAAAAAAACAGAGCTTCTATAGGGACAATATATCTATTCTATATATAAGTATATATTTATATATGGATTAAAGCTTGAAAAAGCGATCAAGATTAAACCCAGCAGCAGAAATTACCAAACAAAAGAAAAAAAACCAGAAGCAAAAAGCCATTACCAAATTCAACTCTTGAATTTTGCTCTTCCTTCACGGCAGAGAAGAAGAGAGAAAAAGAGAAAGTGAAAGTAAATCTTTAGGGTTTGTGGGGATTGAAGAAATGAAAGATATGTCATAAATGGTAATGCAGGGAAAGCTCCTGTGAATGTGATAAAATGTAAAATCAAAATCAATGAGACAGAGACTGAAGAGAGAGAGAGAGAGAGTCACTGAATACAAATATTTACTGCATTGTTGTACAAGCTGAGAAACAATAAAAACTCAGACACACACACAAAGATGAGAGAGAGAGAGACAGCTCACACGTCAGAGAGTCAGACCAAGAGAGAGGTGGGAGGAGAGAGAGAGAGGTGTCACTGTAATTTTCCGCAGTGGATCGCCGTCGAGGAGTGAGCTGTGAAAAATACCCCTAGTTCTTAGTTTTATTACTGATTTGACCTTTTTTATATTATTGTTTGGGGAGCGGGAGACCGGGTCCTTGCGGCTTCGTTTTTGTATCTAAATTATTTATTAATAAAACTCTTATTAACCAAGGTAATTACATAAACATAAATTTTGCTTTTTTTAAGGGAAGTCTAATAAAACATTCTTGGTACTGTTTATTTTTAATAAAAATCTACATTTATACATTTTTCTGATACTATTCATTATACCTTTAAAAAGAGCTTTTCATTAAAAAGAATTTTTTTTTAAACTTTTCGTTAGTTTTTTTTTTTTTTAATAACAACTTAATAGCTAAATTAGTATAAAATGTTTTCTTTTAATAAATAATATTATTTACATTAACCTCATAACGAATCGAATTAGCAATAATATTTTTTTAAACTAATCACACATTATAATTAAAAAATTAAATAAAATAAGATTGTTCACATTAAGTGATTGTGGGTATTTGCTAATAATATGTATGGCCCAAAGCATTGTTTGGTTGCTCTTTTTGCTCTTATAAATACGACTTGAAGCGGTTGTCTAGGGACAATTAATTTAGATTTCAAAAATGTGGTTGCCCGCTTAAAATTTTCTTTTTTTTCATTGTTTCACACAACAATATATATAAAAGTAGTCTTTTATATAAGACTACTTTTATAGTTGGTTGAACTTTATGGGAGGATTTCTGACTTGAGGAGTATTGCATTTGATAGTTGGTTGAACTTCAATGGGCATGTTTTCTTAGTCATCATGTGACATATAAGACTCTTCGTAATTGCTTGAATCAGTAGTCTCACTTTCAGTAGGATGAACTTCATTTCCTTCAATAGTTCCAAGAGTTTCCATTTCTTGTATGGACTCTTCAGCCTTAGGTAAAGGATAAAATTCAAGAAACAACTTCCCTAATTGGAGGCATCAGTGTGTTTGGTAAAGTAAGGACTTGTTTCATGAAACTTTACATCATTTGAGACGACAAGTTTCTGTAATTTTGGGTTATAACACTTGTATCCTTTTTGTGATGAGTAACCAAGAAAGATACATTTGCTCGCCCTAGGATCCAATTTGTCTATGTGATGAGACTGTATGTGAACAAAACTTGTGCACCAAACACCCTAAGGTGAGACAGTTCAGTTTTTCTCCCTTTCAACACTTCCATTGGAGATTTAAATTTCAAAACCCTACTAGGAAGTTGATTTATGAGATATGCATTAGTCATAACCCATTAAGACCAAAATTTCTTTGGCACATTCATTTGGATCATTAGAGCCCTAGTCTTCTCAAGTAAATCACATTTCTTCCTTTCAGATATGCCATTTTGTTATGGAGTGCCTACACAGCTTGTTTGGTGCATGATTCCATGAATGCTCAAGTAATGTTTCATGTTATGGGACATGTATTCAGAACCATTGTCAGACCTAAATGTTTTAATTTTGAAGCAAAGTGATTGCTGACAAGATTATGAAAGTTTTTAAAAAATTCTATGACTGCACTTTTGGCTTTCAAAAGATATAACCATGTAACTCTTGAGAAATCATCAATAAAAGTTACAAAATATTTATAACCATCAAAGGATTAAAGAAAATGTCCCCATACATCAGAGTGTACAAGTTCAAAGGCATGACTAGACTTAGATAAAGATGAACCAAAAGGAAGTCTAGTGAACTTAGACATGTGGCAAGTTTCACATTGGATTAACTCCTTACAAACATTGGGAAACAAGTTTGACCAAACCAATTTTGAAGGTGAGCTAATCTATGATGCCATAGGTGCTTATCTTAAGCTAGACTTGGTTGAACTTGAATTGCCTTTGGAATTTGGAAATCCTTCGATATGTAATAAAGTTCATCTAAAAGGAACCCTTCACCAATCTTCTTCTTGGTGACACAGTCTTGAAAAATTACAATGTGAGGAGAGAATATGGCTAAGCAGTTTAGGGCATTTGTGAGTTTTCCAACAGAGAGCAATTGAAAAAGACATGAAAGAACAAACAATGCACTAGACTCAATCTTGTCTGACATTAAGTTAATCTTTCCTTTCCCTAAAACTTTATGGTTTGTGGCTCCTGAATCTATAACCCATACATCATGCAAATATTCATTTTTAGAGTAGTTTTAAGAGCTTGCAATATACCTTGCTTGTCCTTTGAAGGCAGGCCTTCATTGTTAGCCAAGAACCTGATAACTCATATATTTCATACATTTATACCATCCATCCCTAGTCCCTTTGTGATATTTTTGAGTTAAACTAGTTGCCATTTTACCCTCTTTTGTGTTAGTGTGCAGCTAATCGTATTTTGGAGCTCAGTTGAGGACAAATAAGGCAAAATGGTGCTAAAAGTGGAGAATTGAATAAGATGCCGATGTTGACAAAGAATTAAAAGTGGACACTGAATATGGTGATGAATATGGTTCTTTATAAGACCAATAACAACAACAAATGTGGGAATTAAATGCCCAATTACTGGGATGTATTGGCAATCTGTAATAGCCTCTTTAACCTTATAAAACTGAGAGTTTCACTTTTACATAAGCTTCCCCTTGGGGTCGCCCATAGCTCCCTCTCTTCTCTTTCTTTGGCCTTCCAGAAACAAAATCATTTCTCCATTCACCATCCGCAGCCACCAAAGAAACCACGCAGCCGCGCTGTTCTTGGAGAAGTTCAACATCAGAATTGCTTCAAGGGGGTTTCTTCTATGAACTTTAATTTCATTCATGTCATTCTTGATATTTATATATTTTGTAATCATGTTGTGTAAGTAAGTTCATAGTTAGGGAATTCGATGTAGCCTTGCAAATCTACTCTATGTTATTAAGTTAAAGTACTCAAATTACCAATTTGTGTTCTTGTTTCATTCACTGATTTTATAGTATAATTTTTTTGTTAATCTTAATGTTTGATCACCATTAGGGCTACTTACAAATTATTTGATCAAGGTTATAGTACAAATCATGCTTAATCTTGGTGGACATGTGAATGAATGAAGAAACTGCTATTCGTACATCCTGTCATGTGATTTCTTTGGTTCTTTGAAGTTTTTTTGTTCTTAATGGATTCTTATTTGGTGATCTAAGTTGAACATCACAACTAGGTTGCAGATTAGGAGCACTTGATCACAAACACACATCAAATAGATGATCATAAATGAATAAAACAAACCCTAGTTGCAGATTGGAGAGTTGAATGTGTTTTGACTTAATTTTCATGGAATTGGCTTGTAATGGTGAAATTGGTATCCCTAGTTCCATTTCCATTATTTCTAAATCGATCTATCATTTATCTTTATCTTTCTTGCATTTTAAAGTTATTTTTGTCACATCTTGGCCCGGGCCCCTGATAGGAGCATATTCATGCGACTTAAATGGCTTGTTCTCGTGCATTTACGTTATGTTTCTCTAGTTATTTTAGTCCTTTATGCTTCTTTTGTGTGTTTTCAGGTTCTAAGGGCAAGGTATGCAAAATGATGCCTTTTGGAGCCTTTTGGAGCAAATTAGAGATTGGAATGGATATCATATGCTTGGAGCCAAGAGGATGGACGAAATTAAAGACTTGAAGTAGGAAAGTTAAATCTTGAAAGACCTCATGTTTAAGCATCATTGAAGACTCCTACGCATTTTAGAACACAAAAACAACATTCCTTGCAACCTTAGGACATTGTCGTGTGTTTCCTTGTGTCTCCCTTCCTTGCCATGCAAGGAAGGGCTTTGTTCCCTATTTTAAACACTTAAAGCATTCACTTATCATATCATTCACTTCCATTCACTTATCACTTATCAAAACCACCTATCATCACTTATCATCACCACATATCATTCATTTATCACTTAACATATCATTCATTCATCTCCTTATCATAACCATACACTCATCTCCTTATCATAACCATACACCTATCACTTATCACTTATCACAACAACAACCTTGCACATGCACTCCCATTCTTTAATTCAACCACATTCCAATTCAACACATGCAATTACACACACCACTCAACCCTTTTCTATCTCCTTTGCCGTGAGCTTCCCAATTCCTTTCCAACATCTCACATGCATTTCCACCTTCCTACTTCATCATTTCACCACATTCTCCCTCTTTAACTCACATGCATTCATTATTCATTCACTTTGCATTCCCTTTGCAATTACACCCCACATGTCCATTTAATCATTCAACCACATTCCCATTAACCACAAAACAAATCACACAACATTACCCAATGCCGTGCACTCTCCATCACAATTTCAGCTTTCCTCCTTGCAATTCCACATGCATTCACTTCATCATTACACCACCACTCATTCTTTAATCCACATGCACATTCAATCATTCACTCAAGCACCCTGGTGCCATGTTTCCCCCTTTGTTCCCACCCATCACATGCATCATCATCAAACAAACAAGCTTTTGCCGTGGGCTTTCAATGCATTTCCAGCTTTCCCTTTTATTTCCACATGCAATTCTTCATCATTGCAGCCATTCCACATGCAATTCTTCATCATTGCAGCCACAAACACCTTAAACAAACAGCCATATACATCTCCACTCCTCCTATAAATACCCTTGCATTCATTCATTCACACATCATCTCATTCACAACACAACACACCACAAACACTTTCATTTTCTTCCTTAGCCGTGAGTGTCTCTCCATTTTCTGCACCATTTTCTCCACCACTCCTCATCCATTTCCATAATCCCCCAATCCATTCAACACACCAACAACATCCCTTAGTCCTTGTGCCACAATAAAGAGGAAGATAAGAGGGCCTAAACATTCATACAATTCACGTTTGAGTTGTTGGAATGTTTACGCGTTTCTTTGATTTCAA